GGTGACCGTGAAAGCAACGATGCGAGCGATGGAGAGCATGTTCTTCGATCGAGAGGATGTGTTGAAGAAGGAAGAGACCCGAGGAAAATGCTGAGGTTCTGAGTGATATGATTACAGTCCAGCACTTTTATACTTGGTGTGCAAAGCACTGACGTCGCGAGAGACGTGACCGTGAATCGGCGATTTCAATCGTCCGCGGCCACGGGACGCGATATTCTCCTGGCCCTTGAACCTCATTGGATCTCGTTTGACGGACAACTTGAAACCAGGCACTTCCTGTCAACGCGCGTCAACGTCCAGGTATACGTTGTTCCGATTCTGATTCTGAACTTCAATTTCCGAACGTCTAGGTTGGCGAGAGAGATGACACTTTACGGTAGGTGAGACGGTTTTGGTTCGATTTTGACAGCGGTTATTGTTGCCACTCTCGGCTAATCCCCAGGCTGTGCTCCCCGCCGTGGCCACCTGCCGTTATGTGCACTCTTTGCGTAACATTGATAGGGAGACAGAAAATATATATGTTATTCAGCCTGGTCTAAGGCAATCTCCCACCATTTCAACGAAGATATCCCATGCACCTGCCAATGTAAGTGCCGGTGCACCCATTCTCTCGTAAATCTCTGTTGCGTAGATGTTGAACTGGGGTGTGAGGCCCGGGAATGTTTGATACTTTGAGGCCGGGCTCTGAAGGCTTCTCAATTTCTCCCCCGGTATTTTTTTCCCGTTTTTATTACCGATCTAGCTGGGGAGTTGGTGGGCGGGGTACTCAGGTTGTGAAATGGTGAAAGGAAAAGAATATCCGTAGCACACAAGTGACGCATGTGTGTAGTACGGGCCCCGGCTGTTTCTTAACAGGACTGCGCCGGTATACAACTTCCTTCCTTCCTTCCATATGCTACAAATGATTATGCAGTTGGTGGAATATGCAAGCCATAAAGACGAGACAATGAGTGGTAGCCTCGGGATTAGCAGAAAGTGGCAACCGCAACCGCTGTCAAAATCGAACCAAAACCGTCTAGCCGAAAGCGGAAATGACAACCGCTGTCGAAATCGAACCACAACCGTCTCGCCTACCGTAGACACTTCATGTCCTGAATCACTTCCGGTGGGTGTGGCCTACTTCTGAACCGACGAGAGGTAGTACCGGGTAGCGCTCAGTGCTTTCTTAACCCAGAGATGTTCGGTCGTAGACCTTCAGCCGCCGCCACCACGAAGCCGTACCTGTACAGATGGCCCTTGGAGCACAATTGACTTTGTGGGACAGCTCGAACGATAGTGTCACCTACAAACCGCTAATGCACGGCGGACTCGAATCGCCGGGTCGAACAACAGTCACGTTCTGTCTCGAAACCTTGTCCTGGTTCAAACTGCGCGAGCAAGTCGATTCGCATCCCGTCTTCAAGCCGACAGAGAAAATTGGCTGCGAGGCCTATACTCGTCCAAGCGTTCCGGACGTCGAGTTCGCGTGAAACCCAATGAGACTATTCGTCGACAGAAAAAGGACTATCCAATTATAACCAAAGCAACGTAGATCCGTAATCAAAGCAGACCAGTCCATACCCATACCCAAGCGAAATACAAACCCAAAGGCACCGTCAACGTCACCATACGAAATAACTCCGGAACTCCGGAACGGGGACACCACTCACTCGTCCTCGCCCCAAAGCGCCCCCCACTCCATCAGCGCCGCGAACCAATAGCAATCGTTCTGCGCGTCGGTGAGGACCTGTTCGGCGAATAGGCGGCCTGTTTCCTGGATGCGGTGGGCCTGTGGGCGTGAAGATTTAGTCGGTGTACTGGAATCCCGCGTCGGGAAGCAATGGAAGAATATTGAGGGAAGGAACTTACCTCCGCATCATTCGCCCGTGCCCACTCAATCTTCGCCGGCAAATCGGCCAGGTCGGGTCTTACGGGAATGAAGTGCTCGTAGGGCACGAGCCAGGGCGTGAAGAACTCTGCGAAGGCGGTGGACTGCAAATGATGTCAGCGAACGGTTCATCCCTTTCTCAGTCAAGGGAAAACGCGGTCTTCCATCTCGGAGAAGCGAGGAAAGACCACAGAAAGGAACAAGGAACAAGCAAAACGCGTGGAAGAAGAAACACACCTTGAACACCAACCCCCCGCTCCTTAACAAGCCCAAATACCGCCCTGAGAACGAGTTCCCGTCGACGTCGAGTAGGTACTTGTACCCGTACGCCTCCTCGCGCGGGACGCTCTCGTCCGTGATGTTGTACGCGGCGCGGATAGCCGCGGCGTCGCAGTTGTCTGTGGTCGCGTCAGCACCTTCTGATTTCCTTCCTTCCCCCTTTGGCTTTTAAACCCCAGAAAGGAGAATAAAGTGTGACGCACCCGTACAATGCCACTCATGCCACTGCGTGATCCGCACATCGAACAGCCCCTTGTCCCGATTCTCCGGGCGGGAGGCGAGGTCGATGAGCCGGAAGCGCGGGAAAGAGAGGTAGTTGTCGCCGCGGATGTGTCCGCCGTTCGATTTGCCGCGCCAGTCTGTGGGAGTGTACATGTAAACGAACATGGTCACAATCGAATAGAAATGATTAAAACAGAGAGAGAAAAAGACACTCACATAACACTCCCTTCTTATCCTCCCATTTGACGTCGTTCGGCCTCTCGAACTTACCCGCCCACCACGAGTTGCGGTAGTAGAACTGCATGAATTCACTTGTCAGCTTCACTTGTCCCACTTTTTAAATCCGCCGAGTATCGCTCGTCAAGAGGGGAATTGCGAGGCTCGAGAAATGACGCAAAGAAAGAAAACACACCTCCCCCGGCATCAACACATCCGCGAAACAACTCCCCCCACCCTCTGTCGTCGTCGAAGTGGACGCGTCGGCCAGCTTGGTCATGCTGAGCACGGGGACGAGGTCGGTCGTGAATTCGGCGGAGGAGGCGGAGAGGAGGACTGCGAGAGGGGTTGGGTCAGTTTCCAGGGAAGATGAGGAAAAGAGGTCAGGCGGAATAAAATTTAAGATAGGAAATCGGTGTCATGAGGGAGGGATGAACGGTGCATCGCCCTTGTTCGGGCTCGTGTGATGAGAACGACGGGAAGGGGAGGAAGATGGGAACGAAGTCGAACGAGACGATGAACAAGAAGACGAATCGCCCGAGCGGACCTCGTCCGAAGATGAGACGCGACGCGGCTGAAAAGACATCCCAACAAACGCGTCGCACGCCCCAAACGAAATTTCGCCCCCCGAAGAAAAAATACATAGAACACGTCGAAAAAAATGCGTAGAACAGAACAGACTCACACGACACATCCCGCGCCACACCCGTCCCCCTCGACGGGCGACACACGTCCCTCCTCGCCGGCTCCGAGAAGAACACCGTCGTATTGGGGGGCGAAAGCGTAAATGGGGTGGGATCAGTCAAAGTAAGAGCGCCCGTGAGGGCGGGTGGATCGTCGAAGAGCGGCCCGACGTCGAATAGGACGCGCGGCTCGTCACGCGCGTTGATGAGGACGGTCATGGGGGGGAGGTGGGTTGCGAACTATGCACAGAGTTGAATGAACGTGAGAGGGTTCAGGGGAAGAGCTAATTGTAATGGACGGGAAACGCACTTTGTTCATAGTATTCTCCCAATCCCCATCGAAGTACGTCACGCCCTGCTCGGGTTTGTGCGCCCGCCCGGCCACGAACTGTGAGCGTGGCGACGCCGTGTGGGTCAGCAGCTAACTGTCGAAATGCGCGCGACCATCAGGAACGAATTGGAGGTAGGAAATAGAGCAGAGACAACGCACCTTCGCCTCCATCGCTTTAACCCTCTCCCGGAACCACCCCTTCTTCCCCCTTTCCATCCGCCAAAACGGCGCAAAGTCTCGCCACACGCCCTCATACGCCCCCACCAGACACTCCCTTTCTTTTGCGAACGCAAAAAAAGCGTCGTAGCCGCTGGGAGGGACACGCCCTGTCTTGAGCGTGTACAAGGCGCGCGCGGCGGGGAGGGTGGCGGGCTCGCGGGCACGGAAGGCGGTTAGTGATGATTGAGCGAGGTTTTTCAGGGTGGCGTCGTCATATGATGATGAGGAGGAAGGCGGCAAGTCAGCGTCGAGCGGTGCGTGATGGCTGTCAGGCGGCGGGGGCGGCGGCTGCGGGTGGCCCCAGTCGCCTCCATGTCCATGCGGTGGGGGAGGGGAATTCCCACCCCCGATCGGGCGTTGTGAGGGGGTGTAGTACGGACTCCAGCGGTGGGGGACGGGGAGACCCGCGCTGGGGCCAAAGTAGACGTAGGATGAGCCGACGAGAAAGAGGAGGCCTCCAGTGAGTGCGAGCAGTAGTAGACGCGCGCGGCGTTGGCGGTGTCGGGACCCGGGTGTGAGGAGGGGTTGGTTTAGCGCGAGAAGGGGCCGTGCGACGGTGGATTCCATCGATGAGTTTCTTTTGAGATTTTGAGGATTAGGGGTTAGTTGAAGTGGGAGTTGATTTGGTCAAGTTGATTCAATAGAATACTGGAGGAGTTGAAGGAATGGATGGAAGCAGGGACTAGGACCGAGAATTCATGGTCGTGGTGGGCTGCTACGTTGACGGGCGCGGTAATTCCCATCAGGAAGCACGGCTACTTTACCCCGCATCGGCGATCAACCGGCGTTCAAAAAGACTTGGTTGGACAGAGGCGCGGGAAGTGCGGTGATTTTATGGTGTTGCCCCTCTTTTCTTCCATACAGATTTTGCCTGTTCAGCAAGCTACGGATCAAGGTATGGAACAGTGGGGAATGCGGAAAAACTCTTGGGCTTGGCATCCATGCCGGATCGCTTGCGTTTCACATGTCGGTTTGTGTTGAAGCTGTGCTCCAAATGCAGCGAAAGGGTCAACCATTCCTTCCGATATATAGGTACATCACCATAGCAAACGACATTCGGCCACCGCCCCCGGGCCAGCGGGTAAATAAGTCACGTCGGGAGGCGGGAGAATCAGCCGATTTTTTTGGCATTCATCTGGACGTTCATGTCAACCATGGCGCGGCTCTACCCTGTCATAACGCAGCCTCTGTAGACGAGTGGTCGCCTCCCGATACACATTGTCTTTGAAAATGGAGGTTAATTCGGGTCGTGAGGGTTCGACTCCCTCCGGAGGTATTCAACCGCCTGGCTCTCACTTTTTCTCCTGGCTCATTTATATATCTATTTGCATTCTGTCCCTCGCACTTCCAATGCATTCAATAAAGCCTCTGTAGACGAGCGGCGCATCACCCGACATCTGTAATGAATAGTTTGGCCTCCTTGCAACTCCGGGTTTCGGGGGTTCGACTCCCTCCAGAGGCATGAGTAATGCCAGAGTGCCTTGTTTTTTTAGCTCGAATGCCCACCCTTTCGTTTCAATTCCGAATCTATCACTGTTACGAAAATTGTAGACGCATTTGTCCTTACGCAGTGGCATTTTTGGCGGCGAGTAATGCACAGGTGCTCTTTTCCTTCAGCTCCAATCAACCCGTGGAGAACAGGTGCATACCGAGGTCCAAAGAAGAAATTAAGCCTCTGTGGACCATGGAAGTCGCCCTCACGTTTGTACACAACTCCCATTCTTGAGGTGAGGAGACGGGGGTTCGATTCCCTCCGGAGGCCTGCTAGAGTATGTTTTGCTGCAACTGGCCAGACCACATTATTTTTCCTCCCAACACAGAACCTTGCAAAACAACCTCACCTGAATCCCATGGGCTCATCAGACTTCACTGTGACCAATGACCCGGCCGCTGTGGCCCTCACAAAAGGCACACACCACCCAGCGCATAGCGTAGAAGGTACAAGCCTCTGTAGACTACGCAAGTCGCCTCACACTATTTAAATGGACCCAATCGAAGTGATGAGGAGATGGGGGTTCGATTCCTTCCGGAGGCATGCATTGTCTTTGCTGAAGGTTTTCTTTTTCGGCGTGCTGTACTGAACCTTTCCCCACCACCATGGCCATGACAACCGCGGATGGTATCTGGTATCCCGACTCAAAGAATTAAACACATCTGTCTTCACACGCACAGTAGCATGGCCTGCCCTCCGCCACGAGCATTTCTTCGCGGCGAGTGATGCAAGCCTCAAGGTGCTCTTCTTCTTCAGCTTGAAGTAACCTGTGGAGAACACTGGCAGGTGCATACCACCCAGTGTTCACTTAAAGAATTATAACCCTCTGTGGACTATGGAAGTCGCCTCACATGTTTTATAGTTGCTCCGTCATTCGGGGATAAGGAGACGGGGTTTCGATTCCCTCCGGAGGCCTTCGCCTGGAGTATCTTTTGCTACAACTGGCCAGGCCACATATTATTTTTGCTCCCAACACAGAACCTTGCAGAGCAACCTCACCTGAATCCAATGGGCTCACTCACACTTCACTGTGGCCAATGACCCAGCCACTGTGGCCCTCAAAAAAGGCACACACCACCCAGCGCGTAGGGTACCACATACGAGCCTCTGTGGACTATGCAAGTCGCCTCACACTATTTAAATGGACCCAGCCAGAGTGATGAGGAGATGAGGGTTCGATTCCTTCTGGAGGCATGCATCGTCTTTCGGTATACTTTTTTGTTAGAGATGAAAGTTTTCTTTTTCGGCGTGTTGTACCGAACCTTTCCCCACTACCATCGGCCATGCCCAACCGCGGATGGTATCTGGTATCCCGACTCAAAGAATTCAACACATCTGTACAGTAGCGTGGCCTGCCCTCTGCCACGAGCATTTCTTCGCGGCGAGTGATGCAAGCCTCAAGTTGCTCTTCTCCTTCAGCTTGAAGTAACCTGCGGAGAGGTGCATACCACCCAGTGTTCACTTAAAGAATTATAAGGCCTCCTTAGACTATGGAAGTCATCTTACATTTGTATGAGTTATCTCACTCTTGGGGTGAGGAGACGGGGGTTCAATTCCCTCCGGAGGTCTTGGCCGTCACGTCGGGAATTCGTTTTGTTGCCCCCAAGTCAAGCCAGATAGTATTTTTGCTCCCAACACAGAGCCTTTTAGAACAAACCTGCCTAGTCAACAACCCGTCCGTGGTGCCCCCAAAGAAGGCACACACCACCCAGTACGCAGGGTACAACGTACAAGCCTCTGTGGACTAAGCAAGTCGCCTCACACTACTTAAATGGAGTGATGGGGAGATGAGGCTTCGATTCCTTCTGGAGGCATAAAGGGGATTTTTTTGGTGTAGACCAAGTTTTGCTTTGTGCCCGGTTTACTGAACCTTTCCCCTCCACCGGCTGGGTGATTACTTTTTCTTACGCCCCTGTACTCCTGTATTTGAACCTGAAATTGAACCTCAATGTCAGGTTCTGGGTTTTCACTATGTACAGTAGGGGACAGTCAAACTCATCAAATTGCCTAGCAATTTATACCTCGTATATTAAGCAGATGCCTCGTATCACGATGTACATGTTTGTTCTTCCCGCGCCACTGGGCGCTCGCGAATTCCCGAACTTCTCAGATTAGTATCAAATTCATCTTTTATTTTTTATTCTCCCCTTCCGTCGTCCTAGGGGACTCAGTAACGAGCTCTGTCTGAGGGCATGCCAAACTACATGGTGTGTTGCTTTCATTATATTTTTTTCTTTCCGGCTTTCTCATACTTCGTATATTAAAGAGATCCCTCGAATCAATACGCACATCTTTGTACCCCCGAGATTACCCCAATCGTTTTGCCAGCTGACCCTTTGTATCAAAACCAAACGCCCGGCGCTGATTTCATTGAAACTTTCCGATCAGCCGCTCAACGCACGATCAAAAGGCAGGCAGTGTCCTTCACGTCGCTCTTTCTTTACCACTTATCATCTCTGTCTAACCGTCCATTCCTCCGCAATATTGTGCACCTGTCGTGCACATCTGCTAATTGACTGACCTTGCGTGCCGATCGCCGATCTACACTTCACAAAGCACCAATAGCCCGCAATACCTACGCAATGCCTCAAATGTCGTCGAATCATATGTTTGTTTTCGCACGCCATCGGCGCTCCCTACTTCCCGACACCTTGCAAACCCCAGCGACCCTTTTCTGGATATCCAGCTGACCGGTCCATCAGGGACTAGCTTTCCTCTGAGAAACCGAACACTATTTTGAACCTTGCCGATTGGCCGGCACTCGACTCGTGCTCTCTGATGGAGCGTTCAATAACCGTTCAAGAGGAACGCCGCCTGTCTTTCCCATCATTCGTTTCTTCCTCCCCATCATCACCGTCCGTCCTTCAGAATCTTCTGGGTTTGGTATGCTGCTCCTGCTTGAGCAAGTTCCGCAACATTTCAACAAGCCTCTGATATCGACGGGTTGCTTCAGTCAAGACATGTTCGCTCAGTGATCAAACTGCAAGATGTGCAAAAAACTCGTATTCATTGTGGGCTGGGCGGTACACAAGATCTTCCGATGTGTAACCCTGCGTAGGATCAATGTCCAAGGCACGGTCGCTGCAAGATATCGAAGCTGTCACTCTGTGGCGCAGTCAGCAAATGTCTGGACGGTGCAGACGAGCTCTCCAGAATTGATACGTATTCATTATGGGCTGGGCGCTACAATATGTCAAGAACTTCCGATGTGTAACTCGGCGTAGGATCAATGCCCAAGGCACGGTCGCTGCAAGATTTCGATAGCTGTCACTCTGTAGCGCAGTCAGTAAATTTCTGGACGGTGCTGACGAGCTCTCCGGAACTGATACAAGTCGCAGATCGTCCAAGACCCCAATGCTCACCATCCGAAGCTTCCCTCTGAATTCCAACGACGTTTTTGGGTTCCATGCGAGGTCTTACTCGGTCCTGTCTCCTTCGCTGTGTAACTACGGACTTTTTGCCCGGCACCAGACGTGCTTCCCGTCGCGTTCAGGCGGTCCCGCCTCGGTATTCCCATCAACGTCGAGGCCGCTCTGTGTACAAAGCAACGTGCATTTACTTATATGCGAATCTCCCTTTCTTTCTTTGATTTTCCTTCATTTCACGGCCTTCCCCGACCTGTCCGCTGCCCTTTTCCTCTTGCAAGGTCACGTTCGTTGCACATTTTCTTACCCCCATCGCTGAAATCCAACCCGTGGGTCGTGCACGTTCGGAGATGCTTAAGGGGATCGTCCGTCTTGAATTTCCAGTTGCTATGCGTCCAACTTACTTCCAGATGCCCCGCGTACCTCGTTCTTGCACCCAGTTCGCCTCCGGATCCACGCTGCTCCAACTCGCTCCCACTGCAGCCCTTTGGAGGTTAATATTCTCCGCGTCGAAGATGACGCCGCCGTTCGCACGTTCAATTCTGTTTGCTTGAAGACCGAGATGTTCGCCACGGTTGCTTTCTTGCTTTTAGTCGTCACAACATACTCACACTCGGTTACCTTCGGCCGCAGCCCACCTCAGCTTGCGCCCAAACGGAATCAATCATGCTGGGGCGACGCTTCTGATCGGTCCTCTGGCACTTGATCGCGAGCGTGCCGACAATATCCATGGTACGTTCAGAATATATTTCATAGTACAGCAATGCTTACACCTATCAATCCGAAGCGCGCGCTACTTGAGGGGAACTTGATGATGTCAGGCTCGTAGACGGAGAGTTTTGATTAGTATTTGTTCGTATGTCGAGTAATTGTGTCTGTGCTTTTATGATAACCAGGGGAATCAGGCTTACAATGTCCACGTAGGAAACACTCTCAATATTTATGCCTTTCAAGGGAGCGATTCAAGTTTGGATAGAAATTGCAACTTGAACGTTTCCACGCAAAAGCGAAATGAGTTATGCGCCGGTTGAAAGCGTAGATGCTAAATGACCACCAGACTGCCGGAGCGAAGCGAAGGCATGTCTTGTATACTTATACAGAGCTTAGCTGACTTCAGAATCAGATTCATCACCTCAAAATAAGCTTAAAACAATTTTTTCGTGAATTTTCCACGAGAAATTACGTACAGCCAAAATTTGGCGACTTTGAACAAAAAATTGTGTGTACCTATCTTGGCCCCTTGAGCTTCCCTGCTGCCTCCAAAGTTAATGCCTGCTCAGAAATGGTGCGGTGTCCCCTATACTTCTTCACAGCCCAATCTGCAGCCCACCCAGTCAATCCCAACCGGTAAGCACTTATAAATCACCAGGAACAGTTGATAAATTTGCGAATGACCTCGGATGGACAAGCATCCAACCACTTGATGGCTGCAGCCTTGGTCTGGTACTCCCGCGGAAACGGCCTCAACCGATTTTCAGCCGTGCTGAACTAATCAAAGGAGGAGATGGGTGTTCAATTCCCTCCATTTAGATCACTGTTTTCTTTTCCGTTTTGTCTCCTTGTGAATAGAGCGACCTACCGCTTTCTCATAGGTGCAATCTCTACGGGATCTCGTCGACGTGTCTCCCGCTTCCACCGGTTCGTTTTTAATCAAAAGCCATTGAAAAAGCAGATGTCAGAAAGTCGAGACATGGCAGGAGTATGAATACAAGCTAGGGAATAGGAGAGTATCCGAAACACATGAGGGATGTGCAAGATGAGATCTGTAGAATCAGGTAATACAGGAAGAAAAGCGCCGATTTTTCGCAGTAAAGCGAGGGTGTGTGTTCGGTCGCTTTAACCGTTTCCGGTGTTCACTGATGGCTTCAAGTATCTTCACACAGAGTACCATCGCTTGACGCGGTT